TTTGAAATAGTATATTATTTTCGATGACTCTGATTCATCATTCATGCAAATGTCGAATTCTTTGATGACAATAAAATGTCAATTTTGTTGCAATAAATTTAATATCAACGCTACGAATTAGTCATTACACCTAATAATTTCAAAACTAATCGATTAGAAAGTATTGTTAAAAGGAAGGTAGTACAAGTACGTATTACATAAAACTGTTTGCAAGAAATAAAGGGTAGTATCGAACAAGAATAAAACGATGTTCGATGTTTGAACGGCGTACAAGTTCATCAATCGTATCTTTCTTATGTATTTGTTACATTCATGTACGTGTAACACCCACCATAAAGAAAAACCAATTGTATTTTTTTGTAAACTTATTTAAATCACATATTTGCTAAAATCAATTAAAATGATTAATTGAAAGTAAAAAACGTGTTTTCATTATTCTTCTTTTCTTTTATCTTTTTTCATTGTTTTCTTACAATTAATATTAATATGTATTTACAAAATATTGTTTAAGTAATACATTAAATAATATCCATTAAGTATAACTGAAAATGAATAATAATTGTCAGTAACGTTGGAAAATTGGAATTGATTGAAGATTGGATTGAGAATTGATTGAAAATTGAATTGCAAAGGATTCAAAATAATATCATCTTAATCGTTAATTCGTTATTTGAATCATCTTAAATGAAACGATTACAAGAATATATTAGTAAATGATGTAATTTAATTAATATTTATAAAACTAGTAGATGATCTTTCTCGATATAAGTAATATCGACGTAACGAATAATCTAAAGAACATTAATGCATTTTACATTTACATTTATTGCATATTAGAAAACAGAAGTAGTAAAAGATTCTATGTAATAATAACATAGACAGAAAGATTCAAAAGATTCGTTTTCCTGAACGAATACAATCGAAAGATGATTATTACTATAGATACAAATCGATCAGATCGTGACGAGAGGAAAAATCTCTCATCGAACATACTCGATACTTCTTTCCCACTGATTAGCCATGTAGCTTACAAAGGTCGATTTCATGGTGTATACAACCTTCTAATACCGGACTCATGGAGTTCGATTAAAACTGATAATCTTATTGGTAAATTCTCAAGGCCAACGGTAACGTTCGGTGTATCAGTTTCTTAATGGCAATTATCCATGAATGAAATCCTTCTTTCATAGATCACAACTTTCTCTCGTATATTTTGTTTTAGCGTGAATGAAGGAACTTTACGGTATCGTATTAATACATATGTATACTATGTACTTATACGTTCTTACGTGTAAACGTAAATATATATGTATATGCATATATATATTATCTAAAAGGTCGTAATCGAGATTCCTTTGACCTTCGATATTTTCTTACTCTGATATAAATCTTTGTAAAGACGATGTTTGTTAAAGGATGATAAGAAGAATTGTCGGGAATGAGATGGGGAAAAAAACAAAAAAAAACAAAAAGAAATTTGTTTCGTGTCAACAAATATATAAGATAGGAATAGAATAAAATGAGAAGTTTGAAAATTGATTACTGAACCTATACGTGGACGTAACGGAAATATTGTGTGATGGTAGTAGTACCTTTCTCTCATCAGGATACGACTTATTTATGTTTCCTTTGCTTACATTTCACGAAACGTACTTGAATAAAGTGCGATTCTATCCAGCAATGTTTCATTACGTTCAAGATAGAGACCTTTAATTCACTATGAGATAATTATCACGGATCTACATTGGAGTAGGTGTCATATAACGTGGGAGAGATTATTTACGTTAAACGGAAAGATTTTCGAAATCGCGTTGTTATGTTCTTTTTCAACAAAGTCACTCGAGGATCTATCATCATTAAGATTCATTCATCATCGAATCGTGCAAAAGTCTTGTGTAAATATTATTTTTGTTTTGTTTTGTTTTGTTGGTTTTTGGTTATAAAAGAATAAATAACTGTTACAAGTAGAAAGTTTAAGAGACTAAAAATTCTATTTAATATTCATTTCAAGTAGAGAAATTGAAGATGTTCGATCTCGGGTAAGGCAATGACCTATGAATAATGTATCATCTCATCTCATCTCATCTCATCTCATCTCATCTCATCTCATCGATCTGTCGTAATTATTGATGAAATTCTTTCTAAGTTTAAGATGAAAATATAATCATTGAAGGTCGATATGGATTGGTTAAGAATTTGTCGATGGGAGCGACGCGTCGTTAAAAAGGACCTTGGAAATAGTTTCAGGAAAGAAAGCCTTGAAAATGAATTAGATTCGATTCAATGTAGAAAAAGGAATGTGTTTAAACTTTCAAGGTAAACCTGCTGAGAAAATCCGTTCTCAAATTGGGATGATTGGTTAACAAATTGAAAAAAAAAAAAAAAAAAGAAAAGAAATATAATATACATATAACAGAGAAAGAGAAAGAGAAAGAGAAAGAGAGAAAGAGAGAGAAATAATATAAAGTTACGATGTTTCTAACGATGATGATTCTTCTCGTAAGAATTACGTAATCGACTATCGATTAAGATATCGACCAAATCTTTCGACGAAGTTTTTCTTCAAACTTCAAGGGTGATTGGTAGCATTAATAAAATTTTATTTTACATGTTATGCGAGCTATAAAATGATACGCTTATGCATATAAATAAATATATATATATATATAAATATATATGTAATACTATCATCTTAAGGTAAATGCTGTAACGCTCGTTGACCTGAAAAGTTATAAGCGACCTCAACGACTCTTCTTCGAAGATACGAACTCTCATTGGAACTCTCTTTTCCATAATTATTACCCAAGCGTGCGTGGATTTCGAAACTTCACGAATATTTTTATATCGTTATTTCTCTTCTTCTTGTATATATATATATTTTTTTTTAATTTTTTGATTTTTCTTTTTTTTTCTTTTTTTATTTTTTCTTTAAGAGAAGAGAAAGGGCGAGAAGAAAAAAATATATATTTACAAAGGAAAATCCTTCAAGAAGATGAGACACATGATCAATATTCTATGAACGTATACCAGTAACCACTCTATTTTCTTTATTCGTGTCATATCATTATTGTTTCTTAGACTCGAATTATTCCTTGCCGATGTAATTATAACATTCTTCTATGCTATCATTCAAATAATGGAAACGTATGAACAAAGTAGTGATAAATTAAACCAGAAATAAATTATGCAAAATATAATAATTGATGCGTTATTCGTAGAAAATGAAAGTGTTGTTTCGTCATTGAATACAAATACGAGAAGGAGAGCACGATTTATCAATAATTTGTTCACTTTTTTTTATTAACAATGACAAATATTAATTTGGAAACGTATGAACAAAGTAATGATAAATAGAACCAGAAATAAATTATGCAAATATAATAATTGATGCGTTATTCGTAGAAAATGAAAGTGTTGTTTCGTCATTGAATACAAATACGAGAAGGAGAGCACGATTTATCAATAATTTGTTCACCTTTTTATTAACAATGACAAATATTAATTAGGTATTATGTATGTTATTTCGATAGAAATCAAATTATTTTATTATTATTATTATTATTAATAACTGACATTAGGAACTCGAAAGTTCATTGCCGCAAATACCAAATCCCGGAACCATTGTTCCCGTCCCTGAGCGCAATCCTTCCATTCGTGGTCTTCATATCCTATTTCTTTCAGGTCCCTTCTAATCTTCTAATATCCTCCCATCTATGTCTCGGTCTACCCCTAGTGGTCTTTTCCCGTTTGGTATACCGACCAATATTTTCTAATAAAATTATTTTATTATAGGAATAATGTATAAATTATATTAGATAAGATGATTACCCTTACATTAATGACATCTATTAATACTAATATATTACTTGAATAATATCTGATAGTGTGTCAATTATAGTACTATGATTAAATATAATTAAAGATAACATTTTTGTCATCTTTTTTTTTTCTCTCGTGCTATTCGTTGAAGAAGTTTCACGAACCTGCATGATCAATGATGCGCTTGATATTTCATCTCATAATACGATGCTGCAATTTTCGTAAAGAGTCATCTTTAGAAAGTGAAAATGTACGATAACATTTATAATGGGATAAATTACACGATTATTATATACTATATAAATATCTGCAACACATATCAGTATGTGCATGCATTATATATTCAATGATCTTGCTTGCTTTTCCATTAAAAGATGCTTCTCTTATTTATTTATTTTATTTTTTTTTTATTTTGTCATTTATTATTACAACGATTCTCGACTGTAAAACATGATCAAAGATTCACCATTTATTTGGTCAAAGAAGGTCATGGATTTGGGTCACGAGACCCCGAAAATGTCTTCTCGTATTGCAACAAGCCATGCATACACGTTTTCGATTAATAAATGTGACTCGAAATTTCGTTGTAAAAAATTCAATTGTGGTAAAAAAAAAAAAGAATTGAAGAAACCTTATTTTTTTTTTTTTTTTTTTTTTTTTGAGTTCATCGATCTTTTAAGCAACGTATATTATAAATGATACAAAAGTCTTTGAGATTATATCACTGTTTGTTACAAGTTACCAAAAATGTTAGCTGACGAAATATATTTGAGTAGTAAAGTAGTGATAATTTATTGTCACCTTTTTAGAAATTTACCTGGCTAAAAATTAGTTTTCTAATTCAACGTAACTTCTTCTTCTTCTTCTTCTTCACCTTTTTTTTTTTTTTTTCAAAAGATTTTGAAATCGTTAGTTTCGCTAAAATATTGCAATATCATTTATATAATAGAATCAACGTAGTAAATCTTCTTTATTTCATTTCACTTAATATTATATTATATTTTATACATAATATATTGTAAATAATTGTATATATATATATAAATGCAATAAATCATTTGATATAACATAGTATAAATTTGTGAATTACAATATTATCATGTAAAAATAAATTGTCAAAAAATTATACGAAATTACCAACTAATATTTCGTTTAACTTGAAATATGAGATAAATGAGGATTAACTTTCTTATTGATATTATTCTTAAGAGAAATTATTTGTCATTGGTTCAATGATCATATATAATACCCATAATGACCAAAACCGTGACCAAAGCCATAATATGGATAACCTAAGAAAAAGGAAAAAAAAAAAAAGAAGAAATTAGAATCGATAGAAATCGTATAGATTTGTCATTATATAAAATGTTTAATCAATATGTAAAAATTCTACCATAATATCCATAACCATGACCATATCCGTAGAATGGATATCTGTAGCCATAACCATAGCCGCCAAATGGGTATCCAAATCCACCAAATCTATAGCCGAGATATCCTGGTTTTGCAACTGCTATGCCGACGATGAGACTCAACAACAAAACTATTAACTAAGTAAGAAGTAAAAAAAAAAAAAAAAAACCAAAATTATTAAGAAGAAGAAGAAGAACTATCGTGATGACACGTAACAGAGAAAGTTTTTCATAAGAGAGAGAAAAGAAAGAAATAAAAAATGATATTTCAAAAATTGTGAATATATTATCGACAAAACACGTATCGTGACGTATAAATAAATCTTACCATGTAGAACTTTATTTATTTTATATATATATTTTTTTAAAAGTCCTAATATAAAAGTAATAATTAATTTTTATATAATCATAGTGAAAAATTAGTCTTACGAGTTTTGAGTAGGCCATCTTTTCGTCCGTTCGTTCGTTCGTTCGTTCGTTCGTTCGTTTTTCGTTGATCGATCGATCTAACAAAAAGAAGAAGAAGAAGAAGAAGAAGACGAGTACTCTCTCAAAGAAAACTGTCGAGATTAGACACGGGTAATGCTCTTTTATAAGAAAACCGCAGTAGTTTTGTTTATAAGATTTTTTTTTTTTTCCCTGGCTACGGTATTGGTCCGTTCTGGCGGACTTAATAGCAAAGACCTATTGTCATGGAAGATTATACGAATAGAAGACGACGTTATGAAAGAATAATGCATGGCGTGGTCGCACATGTGTGGCTGATTCTGAAGTAAACATAATGTATATATATATATATATACATACGTAGAGTGCCTTGACATCCAAATTTCTTCCCAACGACTATGTCGTCGACGATTCTTGATTAATAACCGTAAATAGCTTGTCTGCTTATTACACAAATAAGAGAGAGAGAGAGAAATAATACGTCAAGCGAAACCGTTGCTTAGTGCATCATAATTAGCGATCATTCAACGATATATGTACTAACCATATGTGATATCGATGTGTTAGAGAGTTAAGAATGAAACCTTCCTGTCACGAGTATCGTAAGCGAAACAGAAATAAGAGAAGAAAGACGAATGTTTGCCCTACTGAAAATTTATATAATAATATTGAAAGAGAGAGAGAGAGAGAAAGGGAGAAAGAAGAAGAAGAAGTAAAAAGGAACATTTAATTATAAAATGTAGAAATATACTGTGAGTTACAATGATAACGCCAAGTTTAATAGTATCTATTGCGTATGGTGCAGGGACGCGTAAAAAGACCATAGTATGATGTAAGTCGACGCAAACGATTAATGTTCAAGTTGACAGCGAAATGTCAAATGCAATTTTACGAGCTATTTTTATTGCTTATCTTTCTTTCCTACTCTATGACTTATTTTCATTTTAAATAATCCATCATTATTTTCAATTTAATTATTCACATTATTTATTACTTAATTCGATAAGAGACAAATACTTGTTTTCTTCTCTTCTTTTAATTTGTTTGTTATTTTTGTTTAAAAGTCTTTGTGTTTTCTATTTTAAGAAATATGCGAAGAGAATTATAATTCTATATAATCACATGCACAGTTCGTTGCATAAACGTTTGTTTCATACGGTCGTGATCGACGACATAGATATAGTAAGTAGTCTTCAAGAGAGCAACTTAAATCCCATGAAAGAAGAATATTAGTAGATCGTATATGTTTTATATGAACGTGTTTTTATATTGTTGAGTTAAGTATAATCACAGGATAGGGATTATCTCGATGTATAGTGGGAACATGTCAGCAGGTATCATTACCATGGGAAACGGTTACCATTGAGTCTGAGATTAAAGATTTGAACGCTCCTTTATTGAGTATCGAGTATCGTTGAACTTTTCTCATTCTATGATAATAGCAAAGTATACTTACTTATTTCCTTTTGTCATCTAACAGACACGCTAACGAATAATTAAACCTCTAGAAATAGAATAAGTGTGAGATAGGATCAAAGAGAATGAATAATCATTATGACACTCAATTATTTGATAATCTTTCTATTTATATACAAATTATCGAATTGGTTATATACATCAATGATAGAAAAAAAGATCATTTTATTGAATATAAATATATTAGGTCGTCTGAAAAGTTTCTTCTATTTTTTTTTTTTTTTTTAGTAATTTTACAGACACAATATTTTTTAGGTTGAATAATTTAACGTATAGAACAAGATAAAATATAGAGTAGAATCGATATTATTTAGTAAAATAACGCAAAATAATATTAAGCATGCAATATTGTTTAATTTATCAAAAAAATAAAAGGAAGACATTTTCGGGAAATTTTGAGAAAGATCATAAATTCTTCTTTATAAATTAAGAATTAGGATCGATATGATCTAATTCATCATCGGCAATTCGTTCATTTTCAGAACCATCTTCAAAGGGAATCGTTGGAATTTTAGTTTTATATTCTAAATTGGAAGCATCTATCGTTTTCTCCGTTTTCTCACTCGCCGAAATAGTTTCCGCGTCTTTGTTCACCTGTGTCTCAGAATTTCCTCCACCATTATCATTATTACCATTTTTATTACCATTTTTCGATTTCGGACCATAATTATAAGGACGAAACGGTCCAGGATAAAAATCATCGTAATATGGATAATCATAATACTTGTGATAATAAGGATCGTGATAATGACGATGATCTACGGAACTTTCATTGTAATCTCCATGATGATAATATCCTGGACCAAATTTGTAAGGTGGAGGAAAATCATAGAAAGGTTTATAACCACCATAAATTGGTCGACGATTATCAGGTTTTGGACGATCCGATCCATTTTCTTCTTTAGTTTCTTCCTTGCTATTGTTATTCTCACCAGAATTATTGGATTCTGTATTTGGTCGTCTGCCATGATAACCATAGGGATATTTGTAACCTAAGGGATGATGATAAGGAAAGTGTGGACCAAATCCAAATGGTCCAAAGTAATGTCCATCTATTGGTAATGGACTGTGATGATATCTGAGATCACCTCTCGATCGTCGATCTTCGAAAGATGAATAGCCATTGAATTCGTTCAAACGATTATACGGTCTTCCAAAATTTCTATCGTTAGAAATTTGTTCGTGAGTTCGATAAATAGAATCGAAACGACCTGGTGATTCGATATTTTCATCATTTGCTAAATTTCTAGTATTTACTGGACGACCTAGATTCAAACTTCCACGTAAGTTGGTCCTGTCATCTCCATCGGTTGGTTGAAAATAATTATTTGGGCCGTTGTAAGGGTCGTAAAATTGTGATTGTCGATAACCAGCATTGTCAGGATAATTTGGTCTCTCGTAAGGATTGTAAAAATCATCAGCCTGTCTTCTGACGTTTGTTAAACGCTTATGTTTATTAGCGTTAATTTCTTCTTGATAAATTTCAGTAGTTGTAGCTTGGTCAGTTTTGTCTTTGTTACTTGGTAATAACCTTGGAATCCTTTCAGAATTGATCTTAGTGACCGATGATAGTTCGAAAAATGATCTGTTAGCTCGATTGGTCGGAAAATCACCGAATAGAGTTGGTGTCAGTACAGAAGCGACGTTTTTAGCGAAGGTCGTCAATATGTCGGAATCTATAATAAAATTTAGTTAGCAATAGTTTTTTTTTAATCGACAAGATTCTTTTTTTTTGTGTGTGTGTGTGTTTTTTTCTTATAAAGGTGGACCTATTTTTAGAAGACACTTAAAGAGTAAGATATTTGGGAATTTAAATAACTTGTAAATTATTACGGTCTGGTCAAGGTAACACGCTTCGGATTAAGATCCGGTATCATTACAAGATAAAAATAATTTAAAATTCCATGAAATCATCGGATTACGGAGAGATAGAAAAATTCGAAAAATTTCTAAGCAAATTCGTCGGAACGAGAAATATTTTTCTTTTTTTATTCTTCAAATTGAATTACACATGATTTTTGTCATTATTAAAATATTCTAAATAATTTACTTACTGATCGTGCTTTTGGCAGCACTTCCAATATTCGACAAATTCCACAGTGTTACGTAACATAGGAATATCTATAAAAGAATAATTATTTGTTCTTACATATATTGATTAATCAAATGAGACAGTTTAAGGTGTCCTTAATTTAAACACAAGGAAGTTTTCACGGTTAGGATATTTTTTAATGAATAGATTAGGAATAGAGAATAAAATGACAAACATTATCAATGTTCCATTCAACGAAGCATAAACGTCAAATTAAAAGGACGAGGGATAAATCGTCAGTGAGTCCCTTCGTGCGGAACCTTCTTACGTATATGCCTATCCTCGGTTGCGTCCTCACGGAAAAAGTAAAAGTATTTTTTTTTTTTCCAAATTGTTTAGGATCGTTGGTTTTAAGGATAATCAAAGATATTCGGTGCACACGCTCATCGATCGGGAGAAATCACGAAACGCAGTAACAGGATGCAAGATTAGCATAATATTCGCGTTTGCAACTCATTTTTAAATCATTCTAAGAATCACGTCTGTCTTTAATGTGCATTGGACTAAAAACAGGAACTATCTTTCTAGGAAATCCGTGTTAAAAGGCTAAATCAAGAATACGAAATTGTATCGTTTAGAAAAATAGATTAGAAATTATCATAAATCAAATAATAATCGAGTATTATTATCTTATATGAAACACTCTGATTAATATGATGTTAAAATATTTAATTACATTGTTTTAATTATAATTCAATTATTCTGGGATTTTGTAACGAGCACCGAAGTTACACTTTGACGATTGCAAGATTTTGTTTTTATGAAAACATGTAATTAAAGTATGACTTATTGTAATTAATGTTAGTACGCACATTAGATACTCACGTGCAGACCGTAATGCATCGTGCGTGGGATTGATGACGACTAAGGTATACGCAACGACTTCGATGTCATTTATACTTTCCTCTCTCTAAACAATTCTGTGTCCCTTTTGTTTTTAAAATATAATACGAGTGTATCAATTTATATATATATATATGGATTTGAACGTATAATCGGCATTTCGATGCAATTACATGGTTCAATCGTTCGATGCTTGCAACTTACTTAACGCACGAATAATAATTGTAACTACGTATTTTCTACATTATATCTAAATAAATTATTACAATTCTTTTTTATTATTATTAATATTAATATTATTATAATTAATATTACATTCTAGTAAGTCAAAACATATGGCGTACATTTGTATTTACAATAAAAATGCATCAACGTTCGTTAAGCTGTGTTAATATGTAATATGTGAGAAATCATTTAAAAAAAAATATATATATATATAACATTAATTTCTATTCGTTATTGAATGCTTGCGAAATGGTAGATAACAGATGATGAAGCTCGAATCTTCAATAAAAAATATATTTCTATTAGATATAACACGATGATTCTCAAGAAGAAGATAATGACGATGAACCTTTCAAAATCCAATTTGACTGATCGTGCCGATGACGCCAGGTGCAATTACACCTGGAAGATTATAAATCTGAACAGGTCGCGTTCCATGTGATACTGCCAATCTTGTTGCTCTAAAATTGGGTGTCACGATCACAGGTTGAATTGCTTTCATGTTTGATAATTTTCTTGATTGGAACTCTTGTTGGTTTGAATATCTTGGATATTTTGCTAGCATACCTGATACACTCCCATAAGGAATACCACCTAGGAATTAATAAATAATATTTTTAAAGTGATAACTTCTTTAGAATCAGGGTGATTTGAAAATCGTGAAACGGTGGAACGTGAAAGCGATGAAACACAAATAATTAATTAATTAATTAATTAAATTCTATATATTAAAATTCATTGTCACAATATGTTTGTCCACTAATAATTTCGAAACTACTCAACTTATTTTAATGACATTTGCTTTTATTTCACGTGATTTAAATACATTTTGCGTATATTCTAAAAAGATATAAATATAATATATAATATCTACAATAAAAAGAAACAAATAGTTTTAATTAAAGTAATTTAAATTGTTTAAATAGATATAATTATCATAAAACTATCTCGAGTGCTGTAATCTAGAAGATTTAGTATGAAACCAAAGAATATTCCATATTCTTTGACAAAACCTTCTGATATAATGAATAGATTATCAAAAGATATCGTTATAGTAGAAATCTGTAATACCGATTATTCGGACAAACTTACCATATGCTAATCCGTTTACCATCTCAACGATTCCTGCGCTATCCGGTAATGGCGCTGCTGTTGATAGATGAATCAACTGCATTGATCCAAATAAAAAGAGGATCTACATATATGAAAGAACAATATTTCTTATTTATTATTGTATATTTTGTATTTAGAATAAATTTTAATATGACAGAGAGAGAGAGAGAGAGAGAGATTTTAAATGAAATTAAACGTAAAATATGTCGATAATAAAATTTATATTCGTTAAAAAATGTAAATGTTTTCTCGCTACGCTTGATTAAGTTAATATATTGCTATATCTTTTAGAAAGCATATGACATACAAAACATGTAAAACTATCTTGTAAAATATCGAACAAATTATATAATATTTCGTAACAGGCATGAATATTTCGATAGTTGAACAACGAATGTACTTTTTTTGATATTTTCCTTATAAATCGACGAAATCAATTATTATATAAAGTATATATATATATACATAATCTAACATGGTCCCTTTCTTTTGTCTTAAGTGAACGTAATATTGAACTGTGATCATGATTATTCAGATTAAAGTAGTAAGAAAACGCCCCAGATCGAATTGCATCGCGACAAACAGATCATGGTAATAAAAGTTAATTTACCATGAAAGAGGTTTCTATAACGTTCGATTAGAATTCTTACGCTTTTTTTCGAGCTTGTCCACCCAATCATTGATATCACCACTGTTACAACAGTTTAATTAAATATAATAAGATTTTTTTTTTTTTTTTTATAAGAAATCAACACACCACCGAAAATACAAATCAAACTTGAACTTCGTAATATTAAAAACAATATGAGAAAAGAACAATTATTGATCAATCAGTTAATTCAAAATAACAACTCTATCATTATTATTTAATTTAAAAAGAAAATCCACTAATTTCTTAAAATTATTTGATAATAGGATTACTGGGAACAACCAAAAAAAAAAAAAAAATTCGGTAATAACATATTATAAAAGTCACTTAAAAAAATACCTTAGTAGCAATCATGTCGTCGTTTTAAATGATACTGTTCAACTAACTAACAGACCAAACTAGGGTACAAAGGCAAGGATCGAATTATATAGACTGCGTTGTATTACTGTTGACCAATCGAACACTAGTGTTCCCTTTCAATTTACCGAGGACTTATTTATCGTTCTCTAGGATTTTATCAACTTGTGTTATTCTATGCCAACACATTCGTTACTGTAATACAAGTATATATATACATATACATATATATATACATATTCTCCTACCCCGAGGTACCTTAACCTTGAGAAAAGTGCGGGGTTCCTCTCACATCCTATTTATACGTAAAATAACTTTTGTCTACAACATAATCAAGGTTTTATTTTTTATTCACGTTCATATTTACTTACGTTTATCTAATTATTATTATTATTATTATTATTATATTTATTATAAATTTCTTGTGTTTTTTTTTCTTTCTTTATCTGCAAAGGATCTTCATCCCTTCTACTTAAAAGTAAACTCTCGATGTCCTTTAAAGATAAAAATATTGAAGAAAAGTTTCTTCGTTAGAACAGGTTTTTACGAATAATTTTGATTACAGTTTTATGATTACCCAACTGCTTACGTTACGGTAAATCTTTTTCATGTTACAACCAAGGTATTTTCATGTCTTAGTTTCATATCTCAGGATTTATTTCAATATGTGGATATAAGTAAACAGATTCAGATTCCAAACATTTCTTGTTATTTTCTTTTTAAATGAAATACTAAACGATATTCGAATTCTCTTTCAACTTATGTTAGTCATGATTTTCACAATACCGTAATTACGTCGATCGTCTTGATACGTTGTGCCATTTATATTGTTGTATTATTACACACACACACACACATACACACATACTATAACAGCATTGAGGCTAACCGCATATGTACGATCGATTGACGATACTGTCAACCGATAATCTGATGATTATCGATGTAACGTTCATTCTTCTTGTCTTAGTCTTTGTCTACTATATCGATACTAATGAGAATGTTTGTGTAATTAACTTGTAATTATTTAAATGTATGTAGGTATCTGTGTTAAACGTAATGCTGTGAGAACTATAACCAAAATTGGATCAAGGTTTCATACTGTTGAAACATTAAATGTAGTTACGTAACTCTTTTCATGTGACCTCGGGTTAATATTAATCATTTGAAATTCTTCATCATCGAAAATGAAAAATAATGAATTAAAAATTGCTCTATTTATTCATAACAAAATAATAGTTATACACACAAAGTGTACAAATATATATATATATATATATATATATATATATATATATAAAATACAACAAAAGAATGATTAAATAATACATTAATTGTAAACTACAGTAATTGAATATTCGTATAAGAGATTGAATATTAATTATTTAAAAACAATGAACATTTTTATTCGATTACAATCATGAGAATAAAAAAAATTAACACGTTAACAGTTACCTACGTTGTTCTACGTAATAATACAACCTTTGTTCCGGATGATGTATAAATTTGATAGAGGATTTCATTTTAATATTTTCTTTTTCTTCTTCTTCTTCTTCTTCTTTTTCTTTTTCATCCTTCTCTTTTATCTGTTTTAAATTTATATTCCCATCTTCAAATTTACGATTGTTCCTCGAATATGGTTCCAAGGTTTGTTCCAATGGATTGCCTATCAGATAACTCTGAAATCGTATATTCAGACAAAAATATGAAGACATTATTCGTGATCGATAATTTTTCGAACTTTTTATTCGAATAAAAATTGTCTTAAAAAATGTTCTAAGACAGGGGTCGGCAACCTGTGGCTCGCGAGCCACATGCGGCTCTTTAGTTAAAAGAGTTTAGTAAAAAAAAGGAAAAAAAAATTAAAAATCGTTCTGAATTGATTAACGAAACGAGGAACCGATGAGTAAATAGATTAGTTTTTTTTTTTATTAAAAAGATTTATTTATGCGAGTTATGCGAGTATTATTTATTTTATTGACAAGAAGAAATTTGGTAGCTCTTGAAATCTTTGAAATTTTGTAAATTTTGTAAATTGTAATTTTTGGCTCTTCCGACTCAAAAGGTTGCTGACCCTTGTTCTAAGATTATCTATTCATATAATCTCAATTTATTTATTTAATAAACATAATTGTATGCAATAATTGAAAAGTAATCTGATTACTAACATAGAAAAGTAAAAAAGAAAAATATAATTAGCAATTATAATCTTTAAATTTTTTGTAGAAAAAATGTGTGGATTTATATTGAGAATATACGATAAGTGCGTTTAAATATTGTATTTATACTTGAAAATTAAAAGGAAAAATTGATGAAGATAATCTTCGAATTTTGTGAGATAAATTCATTGAAATTTTGTATGAAATAACTGATGAAAGTTCAAAAATCATCTAATTGTAAATAAAATATAAATTTTTTTGTTTTACAATTAAAAATCGTAATTTTCCGACATCCAAGAAACGATAGATTTGATGTTGTTCGAGCTGTGCTCGATCAATCGAACGACTCCATCTTGACCAAGTGAACTTACTTCTGTCGATGGAATACCACTGCTATCAAGATGATCCTGTGAGATTTTCCAGTTATTATTTTCTTTGTCAAATTTCGAAATATTGGAATGATCTAATTGAGAAATGTTTTTAGCTTTGTTAGGTACAATCGAGATAAACATTTCTTTAATCCCATCCTTGTCAATTTGTTTTTTTCGATAAACATGATCAGGTGTTTCCTTGGTAGTCATTGATATCCTTTCGATGTTCTCGCTTGTAATATTTCCACAATTACGATCTTTTTCATTATTTTTGTTAGAAAATTTCATTCCGAATGTTTCAGGATTCTTATCTGTATTGATAGTGGAATTTTCATTGTCAGGATAAGTCGTCCTGATAAATGATTCCTTCGAAACTCTCGAATGATGTTCAACAGTTGTTGTTGATGGTGTTGGAACAATGTCTTTTACTTTAGAAAATTTATTATTCGTTTCTTGTGATTTCATTTGGGGTCTTCGTCGAATTGATTTTGTAAATGTAGGGATAATCGTTGTTGTTGTTGTTGTCGTTGTCGTTGTCGTTGTTGGTTTAATTATCGATGCTATAGTTGTCGATCGAAATTTTCTTTTTTTCATTTGTTCTTTACGTTTTGTTAAATTTTCTTTTACATCATTGTCATTCTTAGAATTGGTTTTAATTATTCTACGTCTTCGTGATTTATCGATCGTTCGATCAGTGACGTTAGGCTTAGTTGTTGTTTCCATATTTATAAGAGATTGTAAAGTTGTAAATGCTACTTGTTTATTTTGTATTTCTTTCTTCGTTGCATTCTTAAGATCCTTCTGTTCTATCGTAGATACGGAAGTGACTTCTAAATGATTTTTCTCATCAATTTTTCCTCTTCTTTCATTTTCTTTTCTAGGTGACAAAGTTATGTCCTCCGGTATTAAAGTTCCAGTTAAAATTCTACGAGATTTAGAAGAGGAAGAAGATCTTTGAGTTTTGTTCTTATTTAATTTCTTTGGATCAAATGGAATATGATTAACATTATTTTGAATCGATTGAGATGATTTGAAATTACTAGAATTATATTTGCTGCTGTATTTAATAGGTTTATGATCTGAACTGCTTTCGTCTGTATCGAAATATGATACGACGTGTCTATTTCTTTGATGTTTTTTCGAAGGAACGTCGTATAAATCCCAAGGATAAACACGAGTATTAGAGGATGATACATCTTCGTTGCTATCCTTCGAACGAAAATCAACGAATCTTCCATAATTCTTTTTATTTCTTCTTCGTTCTCTTGCCAATCGTTCCCTCTTTTCCCAGGGATACTCGTAACTCCAAATCGGAGTTGAATAATATTTCGATTCTCCGAAGGATTGCTTTTGTCCTTCATTCTCCGAACTCCAAGGGAACGACGCATAACGTGTCCTTTTTTTATTTTCACCACTAGACGTTTCTTCGCTACTTTCTTCGAATGGTGATAAACTAGATCTTTCGTATTCCTGCATAGAAAATGGTGGATGATAAAATGCTGGTTTGTTGATACGTGGTCCTAGTTCGGAATATTTCATATCATCGTAATTTTCTGACGGAGAATATGGTCTCGATGAATAATGGAAAAATCTTCTGTCTTCTTCCTTTGATTCATCACTTTCTTTACTCTCTTTACTTCCTTCATTTTCTTCTTCCTCTTCATTTTCTTTATCCTTTTCCAAAGAATCTTCATCAGATTCTTGAGAATTATGTTCACTGGATTTAGGATTCTCTTCAATGTCACTAATAGGTTCCTTCGATCGAGTTTCTTCAACGATCGGAGATTCTGTTGCTTCTTCTGAAAATATTTCCTTGTATTCTGGAGGATCGGAAGTAATATAGTCCCTAACTTTAGAATATTTTAACGAAGTTGATAAAGTTGTAGGGGTTGTACCAATATCATCAATATTTTCCTGAACTTCGTAATTATTTTTCTCTTTTGTTATCGATTCCTTTTCACTAGGATGTTTTTCAGGATCATTTCGTGTCCTATCTCTCGTTAATGTTGAATATTTTAATCGTTTATTATTCGGAATCGTACTCAGTGTCGTCGATTCATCTATGTCGGAATCATCGGACAGAATAGTCGATAAAATCGTAGAAATTGTTGAAGAATCGTCATTGTTTCGTTTTCTTTCAACACTGTTATATCTCGGCTCCTTTCTTCTATTATCTTCGTCTAATAATATCCTTGATTCAGCTGTGAATTTACCAACATCTCGTAATTCATCTTTCGGTTTTGAATGCTTGAATCTATCTCTAATCGTATAAACTATCCTACTTGATGAATCTTTGTCTGGATCTTCCTTCAATGATGTCACATTTTTGGATACAACAGAAGACTTTTTTCTACGAGATCTAATTGTTATCAAAGATGTGTCAGGTTTTGTATTAATTATATCTCTACTTTCTTCAGCTAATAAATCTTCAAGTTTCGAATCATCAATGAGCTTTTCTAAACTTCGTTTTTGAATCGTTATCTTGTGATAACGTTTGATAGTTCTTGGAATGTGACGTAAAGAAGGTCTCGGTCTACTTTTTCGTATCATTCTGTTTCTTCTCGGGTTATTTATTCTTCCAAAATTATATGGTCCTCTAGGAGGTAAAAGACCATCGATAGTCGTAGTGCTTGATTCTGT